TATCCTTTCTTATCGTGAAAGCCCGGTCGAGTTTGCAAGTATGAAGCGTTCGTGGCGTCGTTGTGAAATTTCGCTCTCGTTAAAGTGCAGGGTATATAACGCTGTCTCATGAACGCGAATCCTGGCCGCTCTGTATACATGACATGTGTAGGCTTTCGGTTTTTGATAGTGGCTGTGTACGGAGGATCGTCTGTGTATTGCGGCAACATCAAGTGCGAAATGATGTCAGATACCGCGTCATAAGGAAGACGGTATCCCCTCTCTGTGATCTTGTTCTGCTGTGCCAAGTGAGATGGCTTGGCCACGTCCACCGCATGCCTAATGGATGTTTACCACGCTGCTCTGTAGTTGCGCTCGCAGGACCATACTGGAAGAGGTCAGTTGACCACTTGGTGGCGCACCACGAAAACGCTGACATCTTGCCTGGTCATCGTTAGCTCAGTACATGCACCCGGTTTGGGACCCAAGGATGAAGAAAGCCAATGGCGCAGAACGTTCAAAGCAATTGCGCAAAACCGGATACAGTGGAAGCAATGCACGCAAGTGCGCGTGAATTCCCAACTTCAAAAATATTTACTTTTAAAAAATAAAAAAGTGCAAAATGACGTGTGAGAAAAGACGAAAATGCCAATGTGTTTTGTTTCACCCAATTATTGATTTCTTTCCAAATGTCGTACCTTTTGCTGTTTTGTTTAGTTAATATGAATGGCTCGATGTCTATTCCTATAGACTGATGTCAAACATTGTGTAAAGTGCTGAGCTTCTAACTTTTAGCCACCACAGTAATAAAATTACGGAAAGTAGAGCACCAGTGTAAACTGAGGAATTTCATTGGAGAACGGTCGTATGTCAACGTCAAAATGGCAAGACCGCGACAAAGCAACAGGTTCAGAAAAGTCAGACACTGTCTCCCATCTCTGATCATACAGCTGACACTGTGGAACATTAAAGGTATCAATGGGACTGCATCTACATCACGCATACTTGTCATGCGAACACCTCCATCAAATAAATAATCAATACGCATTAGCTGAGGATGAGAAACACGCCTCCGCTAATGTGCCGCAATACAAAAAGATAAAATACTAAAATAACACGACGAAAATCCAAAACATCAAGTAATATAAGGTTAAATATCTTATTATTAATTTGCTATGAGATCGTGATTGGAAAGAGAATCTAAAGGTGAGGAATGGGCAAAGAAACACACAACACAAACGCCATTGGAGCCGACTCCTAGCCATGTCAGCGAGTGCGTCCAAATCAAACTGTGCCCGTCGTTCTTGGGATCCCAGCCGGGCAGTCGGAATGCACCAACCGACGTCAACTTCAAAGCGAGGGTTTCTTCCTCGTTACCAAGTCAGTGCTTGGCTTCCCTCCTTCTCTTCCATCCAGATCCTGGGGAGAGTAAACAATGCATGTCGCGGGAGTCGGTGTACTGGCATGCGCAACACGTGGGTCAGTCATCGGAACATAGTGCGTGATACGACGGTACTGAGCTGTTCACTCACTCTTCCTGACCAAATACGCGACGCCGTTCACGCGGTACTCCCATTAGACATGAGCCAAACTCCGAAAGCAGCGATGGTTGAACGTAGCTAACTACTTTATGTCTATCGACCTGATGGGCCAGGTTTCATAACCGTACAGGAGGGTTGAACGGACGGCTGCATTGTAAACCCTGACCTTTAGGGCGAGAGTGACGTCGCGCGAGCATCACATGTGGCGGAGATTGGCAAAAGCATCTCGAGCCTTTGCTATACATTTCGTGACCTCCTCTACAATCCCACGGGCGTTAATAGAGCTGTCCAGGTACTTGAATTACTGAGACATCCAGCTGATCGCCACCGAGGGTCAGCGCAGGTCCCTGGGGAATGACTTTGCACTTCGATGGAGCAAAGCATATCCCAAAACAATTGAAGGCAATTTCTAATCTGTCCTGTGCTGCTTGGCGCGTTTGGGCGCTGTCCCATATGAGGGTAATGTTGACAGCAAACTATAAGTCAAAAAGTCGTTCATAAGGAAGTAGCTTCATACCTTCTAGGTCGTGTCTGACGAATGCTGTTTCCACGACTTCGACAACTGCGAGGTTAAATAGAAAAGATGAGAGTGAGCAACCTTGTCTCACGCCACTGGACATTTTAGACGAAGGTAAAAGTTTGCCATAAACCCTCACTCTGCCGAAATATGCACGTACAGCGCTCTGATCACGTTTACGAATTTTTCGAACACACCGTTCCAGAGCATATAGTCCCAAAGGGCATATCGATCAAACGTATCGAAGGCAACTTTTCTATCGAGAAAAACGACTACGGCGGGTCACCAATAAACATGGCGACACCCCAACAATTGATGCAAACTCGATTTTGACGAAACCCTGCTTGCTTTTCGCGAATCTGACTTTCCCGAGTGCCAGTCAGTCTGTGGAGAACGACAGACGCAAGCAATATAGAGGCGATGGAGATCAGACCGATCCCTCTATGATTGCGACATTACAAACGGGAGCCTTCTTTGAAAATTGGGACTATAACGGAGCGGCTTCAGTCTGTTTGGACAGTTTCCTGCTCCCACAGTTTCACTAGTAATTCGTGCAAATCATCTACAAGAGCAGGTCCGCCGAATTCGAAGAAGGTTGGAGGAAGTCTATTTGCCCCTGTGGCTTATTCAAGCTCATAAGTCTGATCTCACGTTCGATTTCTGTGCGTGAGTGCGGATCCAAGGGGATGACCCAGGGAGTAAAGCGATCAATGGCCGCTGACTGATTGAATTGCTTCTCAAAGTGTTCGGCCCAAGACTCCAAGTTTTGATAAACTGTGGATCGGCTGTCCACTCTCATCGTGTATCGTCTTGCTAACACAACGTTTTCTGCTGCCCGTTTCCTGTCTCAAAAGAAACAACTTCCGATGGTTACCAACGGCAGCGGCTGTCTCCAGCTCCGAGGCACGATCAGATCACCAGACTCTGCGGTCTCCCTTCAGGCTAGTACGCAATTTTGCTCTGAGCCTTGTGAGTTTCATTGTAATCGCTTCTAGCCGGAATACGTCAGCGAGCATCCATAAGTTCCAGAGACTGTGTGGAGACCCAAGATCCCCGTTGGCAATTTGATTTGCCACATGAAGGCAATGCTGCTGATAGTAACGCTTGGCGAGTATGCGATCAGCGATCGTCAACGGTGTTCAGTGGATGTTTACTTAGCCCGGATGCCAGAGTACTTTGATACGCATTCAGAACACCTGGCTTCGCCAGTTGTCTGGTGTCTATGAGTTGTGAGCGTCGTTGCAGACGTCCACCGAAACGCACCCGAAGGTCGGCACACATAAGAGCGTGATCAGAATCCACGCTCGAGCCCCAAATCGAGCGACAGTTTTAGGCACATCCTTTCCAGAGGTAACTGATCGCGAAACGATCGATTTGTCTCCATGGCTGGTCAGAGGCTGGTGGGCGCCAAGTCACCCTTCTGCGAGTGCTGTCTCGAAAACTAGTGCTCACAAAAAAGACGAGCATCCTCACACAGATGTAGCAACCGCTCAGCGTAATCATTACGGGAGCCTACACCATGTAAGCCGCCCAGATGAAGCTCATCAGAAGACAAAATTCCGACTTGGGTGTTCAGGTCACTAGCAAGGACCACAGTATCCGTACTACATTTGTAACGAAGGACCTCATTAAGTTGCGACAGAATGCATCTTTCACCGAGTTAGTGTTACCGTTTGCGGGCGCGTACGCAGCAATGGCAAACAGGCACCGTTTGTCCCAGCGCAACTTCGAAGCCTGGGACAAAGCAGTCAATCTACTGGCGCACATCCGGGTGTCAACCGGAATCCGACCGATCATGGCAGCTGCAGCCCAGGGACTTAAAAAAATGCCAACGCTGGCTTGACAGGCATTTGAAGCTGTGTCATCGCCAGACAGGCGTAGTGAGAATGTGCTGCCAAGGTCGCATTTGCGGGATCGCAGGATAACCACGGAGCTCGAATATTGCAGACGAATTTAAAAGAAATAGCAAATATCGATCGATAGGGTTTCTAGTGCTCGATCAAGCGATGTCTGTTGGCCAATCTGTAACAAAGTGGGCACCTTGAGGCATCGAGGACTCCGCTTGGTTGAACATGTACTTGTCGACTTGACTAGAGCGGTGCACTGCGATTGCCTGTGAAGTGAAACAAGAAGATAAGTGACCAGTGAAACAAGTCGGTAGCATCCAAACCCCTATCCACCATGTCTGATGCAGCAGATACGGCGCCGTATAATATCCACTGCGGCGGTTAGAGCATCAAAAGAGTATTTGAAGTAGAAGTCATAAGACTGTGTTGCGTGAGCAGGATACCATCAGGTTACTTAGGCCTAGACAACAGAATGACTAAGGTTCTCAACCAAAGCCTTTGATTCAAAAACCTTAACGCAAGGCAGCGGAGATTTGGCACTGGAAACAGAGTGTCCGTTTTATGGAGTAAGGAGCCACCCTCACTCCAACCTGGAGGGCCAGAAGACTGTGCCTATCTGGCCTCCAACCATTGAGCAATCTGGTATGAGTGACTCTGAAAGTGCAAAAAGCAACATCCGGCATAACTTAATGGATCTCTGAAGCACACAAGCCATCTCACCACGTTAGGGTCCAGCCTCGTCGCGATGCGAACACCTTATCACTTTTTGATGACTCGCTTAGACAGGCGAGATATCCGAGACAACATAGGCCGAGATAGGTTGAACACAAGCATGCAAAACACGTGGCACAGCCAATGTAGGCGATGTGGATAACCAGTAGGGAAATAGAAGTGATGGAAATGTGAGTGAGCTAAAGTTGTGTAAAGCGTGACCGAATCTCAGGGCGGATAAATGTGAGGGAGAGAGGATGCTAAATGAAACGCGGTACAAATACATTGGGGCATGGAATAGACACATCGGTTGGTCGAAAAGATGTGCACCTGGTTCGAACCGAAAGTGTGCATTGAACAACCCGGAAACTTGCAGGGAGAGTATTAAGGAGCAAAATGACATACTTGGTTTTTAGTCTCTGAGCCATCAACCGGATCCACGTAAGAAAAGTTGTCACAATATTCTCCGGTGAACTGTGTCCCTTTGGATGTGTCGTAAACTTTCCCTTTGACTCCTTGTTTAAGAAGCGTATACAAACGGTCCATTATAGCAACTCCATGAGCAGCATCGCAATTCTCGTAGTCATAACTGAAATGAAAAATGGTGATTTGAGTAAGTGGCGTAGGAAAGAGCAGAGTGAGTTAGAGTGAACACATACAGTAAGTAACGCATGAACAGCATCGCTGCTGTTTTCCAACGCCCAATTGAGTATCGTGATCATAATCAGCAGCGGCAGCATCATCAATACAAGTTAGCCGAGGGAGGGAAACTCACCTCAGCTAATGTGTCGCAATATAAAAAGGTAAGACATTAAGCAATGTACTTAAAAGCTATAAAAAAGTAACATAATGCTAATAGTACATGTTTGATAATTGTTGGAGTGGGAAGCTAAAGGGAAGGGGGGGAGACAAAGAGACCCATAACACAAACACCAGCGAGGTCGACTCTTCGCCATGTCAGCTAGTGTATCCAACCAAACATGTTCATCATCCTTCGGTCCCCAGCCAGATAGTCGGGAAACACCGACTGACGCCAAGTTCGAAGTGAGGGAGTTCATCCCTCTCGAACAAGTCATCGCTTGGCCACTCCACCTCTACTTCCATCCACACCTTCGGCGTGCAAACAAAGCACGTCGCGGGAGTAGGTGTGCTGACATGCGCAACACGTGGCCCAGGTGTCGGAGCCTGGTGCGTGATATAACGGTGCTGAGCGGTTCACTCGCTCTTCCCGCACCAAATACGAGAGGCCCAATTGTTGCCTGAACTCGGAATGCTGTCATACAGTCTGAACACACGCTAGGCAATCAGCGGGATTCGAATTCAAGGTATGGCAAGTCAAGTCCCGCAGAAATCCTGAGATTCTGTGAACCAAAATCTCTGCGATGTGTCAGGTGTAAACTAGAGACCGTAAGGAGGAGACGCAGTGGAATGCACCTCAGCGACCTGTGTTTGCAGAAGTAGTGTTCAAGTAACCGAATACAACAAGGAAGCTAATGATAAAAGGAACGTAATAATATTAATAATAAAAGGAATATACTTCAAAATGCGAGAAGCCGTGACCATATTTGACACAGATCACTTCGGCATGGGAAATCCATGCATACATGAGCGCTTTTGACGGTGCACGATTTCGACAAAACACATGATTCGCATAGTTGCGTTTTATCAAAAGGTGGGAATGCTGCTCGGGTAGATGGTGGGTTGCCGAGTGAAAATTTTGTCATCAACACGGTAGTTCTCATTTCCTGTGTTTTCTATGATAATTTTTATCCCCGAGGCCCCATGGAGGGTACTAATCCGCTTTAGGGACAATGCCAACATTTAGGGTCGCCTACAAATGGTGAATGTCTTCCACTTACACACGTTATTTGGTCCTTCTTGAAACGGTTCACCGAGCGATTGACACCATCGGATCAAAGTTATCATGCTTAGATCAAGGCGACTTTCGAGCTTCTTACGAAACGCTGTTGCATTCTCCCACGACGCAATTGTAACGTGTAGACGAATAGACGACATGTTAGATGTAAAGAGAATATGAAGAAGATATGACCTGCACCTCAGCATTAGCGAAGTAATGTTATCGGATTGAACTGTGCCACAGTTTTAGCGGAGGCAAAACGAATAGGTTTTTCGGTGAATCAGATTGTACAGCAATACAAAGTCACGTTTTAATGTGTACAGTCAAAAGTGTTGGAGTTAAAATGGCGAAAATCGATACCGATAGTTTTGGTGAAGATGCATTAGACGACGCTTAGTAAACGATTTCAGTAATCCTTCTAAAGCTGTTTTGTCGCCTTTTATTGTAGCACAAATCTGTGCTGTGACACTGGAGAATGGGATCGGTTAAAATCAGAAGGTAGCGATAATCAAAACCCTGCTACGTATGTGAGCTACAGAAGAATGCACTCAAGTTTGTATTTCAGTTAGTTGGCAGCAAAAAGGGTCACGTTCAGTAGCTATGGTGATGAGACCTAAAACCAGCAAAGCACACAATTCGCAAAGTGAAAAAACATCGCAGGCGCTTATCAATTCCACCACCAGTCTTATATGACCGGACTTCCGAAGCAGAAATAAACCCAAATGGGGCTCGAAACAGCGACGAAAGTGATGGCCGAAAGACGCATTCAGCAAAACGCCGTTGAGCTCCGTTGGCAACGCTAGTCCCAACAGCGGCCAGTGAGCACCCCGAAAACCCAACAATGAACCACGGATCAAGAGTTAAGGTGCAACTCGACCGCAAATTGGGATCAGGTGAAAGTTAGTGCAAATAATCCTGCTAACAAACCCATACCTTTACCATAACTCAGCCACCGAAGAGTGAAGGACAGAATGATCAAATCCATACAAACGAAAATGAAGCAAAATAAAGCGGAGAAAATGGGGCGTGGAATGTGTAGACAGAACGGTTAAGAATGACCGAATGGAATGAGCGCAAGACCGCAATTGCTTCATCGATCGGATTTTCCTGTATTTTTACCATTGATATGGTCAACCCAGTGGTCACTCGCAGATCATGCCAAAGGGCAGGGTGCGACCCGGCTTATTAACTCCATTCTACCCGTAATCCTTTCGAAGCCTATCGCACCACAGTTCTGGGGATCGGAAGATATGGGTTCATTTTCAGCAAACGAGAGTATGTGATAGACGTAACCGAATCACTGCAGGGGAAACATCTTTAAGGGCAAAAACTGTGTTAGCAAACACCGTGGTAAAATTTAACGGTATTCGCTGGGAGTCTCATCGAACAAAATAAGTAGGGGTTTCCAGTCCCAACAATTAACAGAATCGTGGGATTGAGCGAGAAAGCAAGTGGCCACAACCTGTTGGATGAATGGTGAGAAAGTTGGGAGGCAAGTGAAAGGCGAAGAACAAAGGAAGTAACACCTGGGATGTAGCGCCATGGGTAAAGAATCCATTCTGGAGGCCATTTCGATGGTTGAGATTTTGTCGCCCCTTCTATTTACCTGCGAGAGTGTGATAACTATGGTTTTGTTCGATTTTTGACTCACGAACACGGCACACAAGCAACTGAGAGCCCAAAGGAGACAAAGCAGCGCTAGTGTCCAACCGAAGTCAGGACTCATAGAAGATAGCTTAGTCCTAAACCATGGCTGTATTCAGATACAAAAATGAAAAACTATTACTCCGTCGTTAAGCCGATTCTGCATAAATTCGGAAAACGTGAAATGAATTCGACGAAAAACCAATACCACGGGGAGAGAGGATGAATCAGGAGGTCCCACGTAGCCATCCAAATAAGGTCTCTTATCATAAAAGGTGTTTTAAGACTAAAAGCTGGAACAAAAAGCAGTGATGGAGAATGGCGCATCCGTTCAAGCGAGATCCAGAGAAAAAAAACAGATAATATTCTGTGAACGCTGTAAACTCAAGGTTGCGAGTATAGAATTTGCGGAATGACATACCGAGTGAAAAAGTATCGACCATATTTGACCCAATGTTCCCGCACTACGCTTTCCACATCGACGGGAAGGCCAGCCTTGCTACGGGAGGCCAAGATGGAAAGCCAAGCGAACAGAGCCCACAGTCCATCCTTCTCACGGATGTGATCCGAACCGGTGCCAAAACTTTCCTCGCCGCACAAAGAACACATGTGCGCGTCCATGAGATTACCGAAGAACTTCCAGCCGGTCGGGACTTCAAAAAACGGTATATTCTTCGATTTGCATACACTGTACGAAACATTGCATGAAAAGGAGTCAAAAAGATATTCATGGTAGACTTAGTGAAACAAAGGAGTTTCAGGACCCACAAAATAGCGTTGATCGCTCAAAAGTAGTTTACAAAACAAATGGTGCAGAATCACAGTACACTTTAAGGAACCGCGGAAGATGGACGGTAAGTAGCGGTGACGAGTGATGATTACGACAAGTACGTTGATCGGCGATCTAGAAGCGAAGCAAAAGCATGCGTGGTAATGGAGAAAGATAAGAACTTAAGAAAACCAGTCATGTGGTTCAGGCAGATGTGAAAAATCAGATGTTCTGAATGCGTATCAGCTGGGGTCTGGGCTGAGTAAATTTCACTGGTCGTATATTCGCCAGACGTTACTATCAGCAGGCATGTCATCATGTGGCAAATCAAATCGCCAATCTGGACATTAGGCCTGCACGCTGTGTCTGGAACTACTGGATGCTAGCCGATGTGTTCCGGTCAGAGAACACAGTGAGAACCGTAAAGATTTCAGAGCGAAACTGTGTGTTAGTCTGAAGAGAGACCAGGAAGTCAGGTGGTCTCACCATGCCTCGGAGATGGAGGCAGCCGCTGCCGTTGGTAATCACCGGTAGATATTCCGTATGAAACGGGCAGCGAGAGGCCTGGTGTTAGCGAATCTATATAAAACGAGAGTGTACAGCGGATTCACAACTTGTCGAAACACTTGGAACAGTTTGAAATTCAGTTTAATCAGCCAGAGTTATCAGCTACCTTTTCGGGCACTGATTGTCTTCCTTCCTGCACCGTTCTCTTGCATCTGCTCTCACGTACAGTAGTGAGATCAGACAGTAGTAATTAACATAAGATCGAAGGGACAGAGAAAATTCCTCCAGCCCTCTTCAAATTCGCAGGTACACTTCTCGTGGATGATGTGCACAACCTAGTTAAGTAGGCCGATGAAGCATGAGGCTGTTACAACAGACTAGAAGCGCTTGGTTATTGTCCCAATCCTCAAAAAAGACTCCTGTTCGAAATGCAGTAGTCATGGAGGAATCAGTCTGAGCTCAATTGTTATTAAAATGCCTAAGTTTGTCGTTCACCACGGACTGGCTGGAACTCGTGCAAGCTAGATTCGTGAGGAGCAAGCAGGGATACATGAAAATCATACCTGCATTGACCAGACCTTCACATTAGTTCAATTAATGTAGTAACACCATATTCGTTGTCGAGCCACGGTAGTCGTGTTCCTTAGACATCAAATAAGCATTCAACTCGGTGAATCGATGTGCCCCTCGGAACGGTCTGAGCAGGAAAGGTGTCCGATAAATACGCAACATTATCATAGCGCTGTACGCGCAGAGTTCGGGTGGAGTGTGGGTTTATGGCAAAATGTGGCAGCCATTCAACAGTTCCAGTGTCGCAAAACAAGGCTGTCCACTGTCACATTAAATTTTTAACTCCGCTACGGACGAAACATTGGAAATGACTTTCGCTGGACACGGTCTACGAGGTGTGGAGCTGCTTCGGAGTGAGCAACTTTTTGACTTGACGTATGCCTACGACATTGGCCTAATCCGTGACAGCTCCCAAACGTGTCAATGGACAGATTGACTTTGATTGTCACTTGTTTTATGCTTCGCTTTACACATTCGAAATATAAAGTCATTCTCCAAGATCGCCAGAGAGGTAACCCGACGCTGACCCTTGGTAGTGATAAGCTAGAAGCCGTCTAGAAATTCATATGTCTCGGCAGCTATATTACTACCGTGGGATGGATGGTGAGATCACAGGCTGCACAACAAAAGCTCGAGGCGCTATTACCAATCTCTGTTACCTGGGGCACCGGCACGATATCACTTTGGCCCTGAAAGGCAGAGTTTACAATGTAGCTGTTCGTTCAACCCTCCAATAAGATTGCGAAATCTGGCCCATAAAGTCGACAGATGTAAGGTATTGCGTCCGATCATCGCTGCCTTTGCAGCTTAGCTCACATCTGGTTGGAACCCCCGTGAGCAATGAACCTGTTCGACATCGTGGATTCGGTGTGGGAAGAGCGAGTGAACCGCTCAGCACGGTTATATCAAGCACCAGGCTACGATAGCTGGGCCACATGTGGCGTATGCCATTGTACATTGTTTGCGCGCCAGGGGTGCGGTTGGAAAAGGAGAAGCCAAGCGATGACTTAGTCGAGAGGAATGAAAACCCTCACTTCAAATTTGGCGTCCATTGGTGTCAACCGACTGCTGGGCTGGGTTCGGAAAGAAGATGAACACGTCTGGTTGGATACATGAGTTGATATGGTGAAGAGCCGACATTTGTGTGGTGAGCTTCATTTTCTCACCCCTAGCTGTTATCATCCACCTTCAAGCACGTTCTCAAAAGTTGATGTGTAATATGACATTTAGCATTATATTACATTCTACAGAGTTTGTAGCCTGTAATATTTAATACCTTATCTTTTTGTATTGTAGCACGTTAGCTGTGTTTCTCACTCTCAACTAACGTACTAATGATGAAAAGCCAGTTCGGTTGAACAGAAAAAAATAAAGGTGAAGCTTAAATGGGTTGTGACAGCACCCTGATCAAGCAAAGAACACCAGAGTAACAACAAACGGTAAGCCGACGAGCTGGCCGGACACCGGATGATGAAGTTCATCAGATGCTCGGTGAGGAGGATGTAAATAGTAAACATCCAGTGCGTAATAAAAAAGTGACGAATATGGTAAAAAGCTGGTATTTATGTGGGTTTAAGGGTACTGGTAATTGTGATTAAGGCACGAGGGTTACCCATGGGAACCCCAAGCGAAAAATCGGCGAGTGTTGCAGTCGGTACCTTCAGTATTCCAAATGTGAGGGTAGGTGGCAATTCCGTTGGAGCAGGTGACGCAAAGTCCGTGGAACGTGTTTATTCAGGCCATCCAGGTTGCTCTTCCGTCAATGAATTGTGTTAAAGCGAGCTGGATTCCACTCAGTACATCAGACCGGTACGGAAGCACGAGATAATAAGATTACTCAAGTGTCGTGCTGGTCCCTCCCTTTCCGCGTTTCTCAGTGTGGCAGGAATCCTGTCTTCCGGTCCAAGTGCCGATAAGAGGGAGTGGGTAAATCTCCTACAGACGCATCGGGTTTCTGTGTTTTAGTAGGAAATAGTCTTAGTACACAGCCCCCGTAGCTGCTATCGACATAATCAGTTTTTAGCTTGTGTACGACATCGAGTCGTTCGTGGTCTACTGGTTTTGGTCTTCCAAAGATGCCCCTCCGAATGATGGTTACCATGTGAAAAACAATGGAGGTGACGCCTGAGTAAGCTGCCTTTATCTCAGAAACATTTGTACTATACGGCAAAATAACCAGCTTCATTGTCTCTTGATCACGTTCGGCGTTTGCAGGGATGTGGTTTGGCTAGCTTCAGATACGTTTACGCTTGTAGGCACTGAGCAGTCATGAGGTCAGGATGATTTTCTTCATTCTTCCGAGTGATCTCGTTCCAGAAAAGGAGATACGTATGCAGCTAATTTTGCAACACGTTAGGCGGTTTCAGTTCAATGATTGTGATTATATGCAGGTTGATGAGAAGTGATTCGGGCAGTTTATCGCCCATTCTCCTTGTTACCAACGCACCCAAGAAAGTTAGATTACCAGGTCAGGTTTCATTGTGTACTGATGATGGATAGTGACAACGTTAACGGAGTGTGATGTACCATAAAGTTGGGTAAGACAAACGTAGTATCGATGTCCCGATCTCTCAACTGAAGAATTATTAGGAACAGACGATGTGCAGCTCGCGTGACTATCTTTACTACAAGTCCTTATATAATGGACCGCGTTAGTCATCCCATCACTTGCCCATAGACTTTTCAACTGGAGATCAAGCAAAGTCGAAAGTCAGATTGAGAACTTTGAGTGCACTCTTGGTTATCTTTTTCTCTGAGTGACTGTTTTCCAGTGTCCATATGTTCCCTCATCGTAGATTTCGATAGTTGTAAACAGGACGATCACATCAGAGGAATGGATCCCTTCATTCAGATCTATTCGTATATCTTTGAGTTTCTCTGGAAATCCATCAGTATCACGTAGATGAAATTGAGATGCTTGAGGTGAACCGCACATCCTCGACTGGTTGGTCGCTAATGTTGTGGGTACCAATCGCGACGTATTCCGCAACGTGAAAGCCGATAGAGTTTAAGAGAATAGCCACATGAAAGAACGTGATACAACAAAACCACGTTGAAGCAGAAGTTGCTGTTAAGAAACGAGATAGATAGAAAAACGAGTATGGTGAGAGAATTTAAACTAAACAACGAAAGCGGATGATGTAAACAGAAACAGTGGCCACATGGCTTACCTATCAATGCGTTTAACGTTCGTACCAGTAGCACAAAAGACTGAACCTTGGATAGACTTAGTGCTGATGTCTGCTGCCTCTCAGAAAACTACAATTCATTGCCTTTATGTGGCCAGCGAGTCAACCGTATTTGGTCTATTCGACACCGGCAGCACACGTCCACAGATATGCAGAAACAGTTTGAGACCTAGGCTTTTGTGAACCCACTTTCTCCTAACTTGGTCCCACTCCGCTAAGCTTGTATCTGAGTTAAATGCTCGCCAATCGCTATTGGAAACATTGGCTGACGGGCAGCACGAAAAACCTCATCCGCTTTTTCGGCCATTCTTACATCTTTACCATTTCATATTCTCTTCACTGGCTTGAAATCTTTCCATGTGTCAGAATGTCACTGTCATGTCAGAAAGCTGGACATCCAGGACATTTTGATCACCACTTCATCTTACCTTGGCCATCACTACGAAAGTTAACATTTACCTCGCTCTAATGCCCACTATGAGCTGATGAAACTCATGCGCAGTGGCGGGTGGACAACCAGATCCTGCATTTTAAGATACCTTGCTATTCTTAACTTATAAATATTCTTCATTCATTATGCCAGGCGCAATCGAAAAGTCAGAACCAGCAAAACCACAAGTGCGCTTGCGCACGATACATTCGAGCTTACCTTAG